GTTAACTAGAATTTAATAAAAACTTAAAAAATTTAGAAAAAGGAAACAAAATTCCAACAGCATTTCTCACAGAGCTAAAATAAACAATCCTAAAATTTGTATGGAACCACAAAAGGCCCTGAATAGCCAAAGCAATATTGAAAAAAGAAAAACAAAACTGGAGGTATCACAATTCTAGACTTCAAGTTATATTACAAAGCTGTAGTGGTTCAAGACAGTATGGTATTGACACAAAAACAGACACATAGATCAATGGGACAAAATAGAAAGCCCAGAAATAAACCCACAACTATATGGACAATTAGTCTTTAGCAAAGTAGGAAAGAATATCCAATGGGAAACAGACAGTCTTTTAAACAAATGGTGTTGGGAAAACTGGACAGCTACATGTGAAAGAATGAAACTACACCACTTTCTTACACCAATATGCAAAAATAAACTCAAAATGGATTAAGGAACTAAATGTGAGACCTGAAACCAAAAAATCCGAGAAGAGAGCTCAGGCAGTAATGTCTCTGACATCGGCCATAGCAACATCTTTCTAGATATGTCTCCTGAGGCAAGGGAAAGAAAAGCAAAAATAAACTATTGGGACCACATGAAAATATAAAGCTTCTGCACAGCAAAGGAAGTAACCAACAAAACTAAAAGACAACCTATTAAATGGAAGAAGATATTTGCAAATGACATATCAGATAGAGGGTTAGTATCCAAAATATATAAAAAACTGATATAACCCAGCACCCCAAAGAACCAATAATCCAATTACAAAAGGGGCAGAAGACACAAATCGATATTTCTCCAAAGAACACACACAGATGGCCAGCAGACACGTGAAAAGATGCTCAACATCACTAATCACCAGGGAAACGCAAATCAAAATCACAATGATACCAACTCACACTTGTCAGAATGACTAAAATTAAGTTCAAGAAACAAGTGTTGGTGAATAGATGGAGAAAAAGGAACCGTCGTGCACTGTTGGTGAGAATGTATGCTGGTGCAGTCATTGTGGAAGACAGTATGGAGATTTCTCAAAAAATTAACAATAGAATTATCACATGATCCAGTAATCACACTACTGGGTATTTACCCAAAGAATACAAAAACACCAATCCTAAGGATATATGTATCCTTATGTTTACTGCAGCATTATTTACAATAGCCAAGCTATGGAAACAGCTCAAGAGTCCATTGATTGATGAATGGGTAAAGAAGAAGTGGTATATATACACAATGGAATATTATTTAGCCAAAAAAAGAATGAAATCTTGCCATTTTCAATAACATGGATTGATCTAGAGAGTATAATGCTAAGTGAAATAAGTCATAGAAAGACAAATACAATATGATTTCACTCATATGGAATTTAAGAAACAAAACAAATGAAAAAAGGAAAAAAAAAAACCCAGACAAACCGAGAAACAGACTCTTTAACTATAGAGAACAAAGAGATGTTTACCAGAGGGGAAGGCAGTGGGGGTGAAATAGGTGAAGGTGATTAAGAGTACTTATCATGATGAGCACTGAGTAATGTATAGAGCTGCTGAATCACTATATTGTACACCTGAAACTAATACAACACTGTATGTTAACTCTGCTGCAATTAAGATAACAAAATGTCAACTGTGGTTACAATTACAGACAATACTTTCTAAAAAGAAAATGGCCATACTTCGACTACTCAACTTGAATCTTCTGATTAGGATAAGGTTGAACTGCAAAGGTGATTAAGATTTAGTTGGTAGATGTCTTGAAAGTTAGATATCAGAAATATTTTCTGAGTTTATGCACCCATGGGAGAAACTGAAAAACTATTCTTTACTCTCAAGTATGTGCCTCTGAGGTATCTGACCTACTCCTATTAATCAGTTTCTCAGCCATTACCTGAAGGTGAGGAACAGTCTGGCTATCTCATTTTTCGCATTCAAAAACAATCACTTTGGGAAACTATTTGGTTGTATATACCAAAGATAAACATATGCATGCCATGACATCTAACAATTCCATCCCTAAGTATATATCTAACAGAAATATATGTACTAGAATGTTCATAGCAGCATTAGTAATAATAATCAAAACCTAGAATCTAACCAAATGTCCATAAATAGTAGAATGGCTAAATAATTGTCTAGTCACACAGTGGAATAATATATAACAGTGTGAATGAACAATCTATAACCACAGACAATAATATGAGTAAATTTCACAAACATAATTATTGAGCGAAAGAAGCCAGATACAGCAGTATGTACTACAGAAACAAGCCTAAGTAATCTATGCTTTTCAAAATGAAAAAAATGGTTACCCTCATGGAAAGAGTGTGGTTTATGTGACTGGAAGGCGGCATGAAGGTGGCTTTTTGGGTGGTGTAATGTTCTGTTTTATGATCTGGGTATTGGTTACATGGGTGTTTAGTTTGTGAAAATTTGAGCTATATGCTTATGTATACTTTTCTATATGTGTACTATATTCTAATACAAATTTAAAAACAACACCTTCATCAACCACAGTTATAATAACTAAACCCTAAGTCCCAAATTATTCAACTGGTTAACAGTAAAAAATAAAAGGAAATCAGGAACTCTGGATTCTTGGCCTGCAGATTCATTGTACATCTATTAGGTTAGATTGGTTCCAGTACCTTCAGATCACAAAGATCTACAGAGATAAACTGGTGAAATCAGGATGTCTTTCTTCCCACTGATAGAATATTTGTTCTTTTCCTTTTTTTCTTTTTTGAACACTGCAATTAATTTCTACAGCTCTACCACAGAACATGGGCTGTGGCAGACATCATCCTCATTCCTGTGCACACACTAAAATGTGGTAACTGAGTGTCTAGAAACTGTTTTGTTAGAGGAAGTAAACAACACTTGAAAATGCTCTGGGGCCCTTGCATGAAAGCTAAAGCAAAGATTAACTGTATATCCTGTGCAGTGTTGTCTGAGTTCGTAGAATAAACCTCCTGACCCGAATGGATGTTTAAATACAACAAATGGGAGGATCGTGGCTCAATATACTTTTGTGAATTAAAATGGACACTTTGGAAACAAACTTAATGTCCTGCAGCTGGCTGTCCCGATTTAAAACATGTAACTTTTGTAACATTGTGGGAGAGGGAATGCTAGTAGTATCAGATGTCTGGAAGTAAATCCAAACTTAGTGACTTTAGGAAATACTGTTTTTGAGGTTGTTTCCCACCTACATATAACCATTTTTATAAACTGGTTAACCAGGAGTCCAGCTGCAGGAATGTTTGGATGTTTCCTTGCAGCTGGAATTCATCACAAACTTTTTGTTATTCTCCAAAGACTTTTATAGATGGACTAGTTAGTGACGATAACTTAACAGTGGCTAAAAATTCCTGATGGAATTAAAGCTTTATAAAGTGACAGTCGAAAAAATCCCAAACAAACCACGTTTGTCAATCTCTCCTGATACCATATTAGGTATAACTGAGGCTACAGAAGTGAGCGGAATGAGAAGTTAGGCAGTCTGATGCAGCTCTCAGGATGGAGCCAGAATTCTCTTCATCGAAACAATGTGTCTGATGAAAATAAAAATGGGCTGAAAGGGGAAAATCATGTAAAATCACCTCATCTTACCTGGAATTGATTTTGTGTGCTTACATAGGGTATTGCATCTAAAATGAAGCCTTTGCTAATGAGTCTAAGTGTTTTGCTCTAAAAAGTAGCATTTATACATACCCTTTACTTTGGGAAATACCTTTTAATAATCAATGGCCAAACTTCCTTCCTGGCATTCAGGATTTGCATTAAGCCATTTTGCTTAAAAAAAAAAAAAAAAGAAGCCACCTCAAAACCAGCAGGCACCAAGTTGATGACATGGGCCTTTCATCACCAGGTTGACCACTGGCTCTCCGTGAAGGACTTGCCTACATCCACTGTGCTGAAGCTACTTTGTTTCTCCACACTATTGAAAGTTGACCTTTTAGTCTTTGTATTATCTCTTCAGCTTATCCCCTCTAACCAGTTTGTATGTGGATGAGAAGGAAAACCGGAGAGAAAGCAAACAGTCATGGAAAGATTTTTTTTTTTTCAAAATATACAATAATGCACAGTACATAATAAAACGAGTGAATGGTTATGCCACATTTTAATTGTAGAAGCCAATACTTGAACTGCCCAAAGAGCATCCTTGGGAGAATGTTAAAACGAGGCTGGCTTCTTCTTGTCATCTAGCATCTCCTTCTATTGCCTATTAACGCATACTCAGAGAATGCAAACTAACTTTTTAAAATTTATTTATTTTGAGAAAAATAGGGAGAGTGGGAGGAGCAGAAAGGGAAAGAGAATCTCAAGCAGGCTTTGCACTGTCAGCGCAGAGCCCGACATGGGGCTTGAACTCACACACCAACTGTGAGATCATGACCTGAGCCAAAATCAAGAGTTGGACATTTAACCAACGGAGCCAGTCAGGCGCTGCAACCCCCACCCCCAAGAATGCAGACTAATTTTAATCTTAGTGTAAGCCAAATATAAATGTGGAGAGAAATCTAATGCCACCTAAGACAAAAATGGAGGAGGAGGGAGAGAAGGGGGAGGAGTAAGGGCATATGCCTTATCCAAAGCTAAAGATGACTTTATTTTCTCGTTTGTGTACTGTAGGATAAACCCAGAATTCTCTGAACATAAATGGTTAAGGATTATTCATTGGTTTGTATCATCTGTCACTCAATGCTATTAACCAGATAGGAGATACAAAAGTGCATTAGTTTTTAAAAAGTGCTTTTAAAATGTAAAGTGGATTTTATTATTATTACATATTAAGGGTTAACATATTTATAAAATTATGGTATTTTTGTATCTGCTTACCTCTGACATATCATGCACCAGCAAGAGAGGTATGCTTATTGTTGTGATGTCATGGGTACAGCAAACCTTGAGTATATTTCGGAGTCCCATAATGGCAGGATCTCGAGCAGTGATGTTTCCCGATTTCACATTGTCATCCACACAAAGGTGGAAAGCAACATGTATTTCAGAGAGATTAGAATGCCGTGTAATATAAAATTCTCCTGTGAACACCAAATGCAATCATGATTTTCAAATGCATCAATCGCTTTCAGCAATAGGGTTTATAAATAACTATAATTAGGGAAGTCAATGAGCTGAACTAGTAGAGATATATCAGGAACCTATATGTTGAGCTCAGGAAACAAATATGGCCATTGCTCCTTAATTCTTGGAAAGAAGGTGATAAAAAAAAAAGAGACAATAGCCAATTTTGCATAGGTTCATAAACTGGTATGAAGTGATCACCAAGTAGTAAGTAAATCAAATGAGTACTCACATCTATTTTGATGTAAATGCTCAAAATGTCCTACTTAACTCAAAGTGAATATGTAAAAACAGGTTGATTACCTGTCTTGCACATACCCTAAAGCAGCAATTCTCCATCTCAGTTTATGGATCTAACCTCCCTCCAGTTAGTGGCACGGAACAGAAACATAGAAATTGCCCTTAACTACTTTATCTCAGTATCTATTCCCTAATCCACAATACACTTCACCATCAACTACTTTCAGTAATACCTCCAACAATTTTCTCAAATCTGGGATACTCAATTTATTGCTATTACCCTAGCTCGAGCTACCATCATCTCTCACCTAGGTTTTTGTCATAGCCTCTTAATTAATCTCTCTGCTCTCAGTCTTGCCTACCTACAAACCATTTCCACATTTGCGGCCAAAACAATTTCAGTAGAAATCAGATTATATCGCTCATCTACTTCAAATCATCCAACAGGCTCACACTTCATTCAGAAAACAAGCCAAGCCCCTTACTGTGATCTGCACAGCCTATATGATCTGAACACTGCCCATCTTTCTGACATCTATTGTCTCACCCTCTCTTCCTGCCCAGCCACACAGGCTTTTGTAAAGTTCTTCAAACACATAGAACTTGTTCCCAAATCAGGGCTACCTCATCGAAGTTTTCCCCCAAGATTCTTATATGGCTGACTTCTTTTCACCAAAGATGCCTCAGATCAAAGATCACCTCCTCAGAAAGATCTTCTTTGACAATCCTATCTGATAGGATACTTCTCACATATTCTCCTTTACATTGTTCTGTTTAATTTTCTTCTCAGCACTGAAATTCTTTATTTGTTTGAGATTAAAGAGACCATTGTTTATGCTCAACAACTACAGGGATTTTGTCTATCTTGTTTAATGTTCTATCTCCAGCACATAGAATGGTTCCTGGTACATAGGAGGTACCTAATAAACAATTGTTGAATGGCTGGATGAACAAATGATTATAGACTGAATGCTGGAGCAGCATTTATCAAACCTTAGAATTCATGCTTCCTATAATTACTCCATTTTGTATGGAGCCACACTAGCCATCAGCCTGTACATTCTGCAGTTTCTGTCAAAATAAATATATAAAATATACAAGCATATGAAGAATATGTTTTTACAAATACACATGCTTCCTTGGAAACTCTGATATGAAAATTCTAGGAAAGCTTTGCTCTTCTAAGTACTACACTTTCATCACTAACCCATGCCTTCACAAATTCTGCTTCCACTTGCTTCAAAGTCATTACCTTAGGATTTTATTTATAAATACATGTATGCTTAAAAGTATTTGATATACTTTAGCATAGTGTTAATTCATTTGTAGTTACCAGTGTTGGTAAGCTATACCTATAGATGCTAGTGACAGGTCCCATGCAAAGGTCTTTTTTTTTTTTTTTGACTTAACTAGACAAAAAAATAAATAAATAAAAAATTTAAAAAAGGAAAATTGTGTGGTGGCAAGTATAGTTGTGATTTCCTTGGAAGGCAATATAAGAGGCAGACTGTTTATCAGAAACCTGGCAGACTGTATGAGACAATATCCTTCCGGGCCCAGTGAAGTGCATTACCCCCTCAACTCCTACTGATAATTTAGATGAGGGAAGTCACAGCATTAAATATGGGCTGCGGTCCAGCAGTGAGGCAGATGACTTAGTGAACAAGTCAGGTGCTCCTAATCCCCAAATTGGCACTGCTTTGTTTGACCTTACATGACTTGTCTCTTGGCCTCATTTTACCCAGTACTGAAATGGGGGTCATGGAGCGGGCAATGGTAATCAAAATAAGATGATATAGAAGAAAAAGGACTAGACTGGGTATTAAGAAGATCGGATCTCTAGCCTTTATTGGCTGAGTTGATCTTGGGCAAATAAATTCAATTTCAACTCTGTACTTTGTATAAGAAATGCAAAAAATTATGCCTGACTGCTTTCCTTATAAAGTTGTTGTGAGAATTAGAGGATATAAACTGTAAATACTTAGGTAATGATCAAGTAAACCTACTGGTGAAAATATATATAAATAAAACTATTTTCCTTTGCAACTTAAAAACTTAAAAGCATTTGTGACTTGGGTCTTTCTTCATCTCCTGTAAACTTTCTGGCTGTGCAGGCATCCCCTAACTACATGGAAATTCAGATGCTGTTAGCATATCTAACTGAATAGTTTGATACCCGTTTCTAATGCGGACTATGACATAGTCTCCTGATTTGGTAGTAATAATGCAATACTAACTTATAGGCTTTTCCCAAAAAGGAGCAATGAAGGAAATAAATATAGCAAGAAAGAAGTAAGTTGAAAAAACCCCCACACATCAGTACCTCCGGAATAGATAATAAGATTGGCACATTTTAAGAAAGCCACAAAATATGGATGATTTAAATTAGGGATCTGTGAAGAGAAATATAATAAATCCTGTCTCAATGAAGGTATTTTTAGATAGAGAGGAGGACAGTTTCCTGTTCCACAAAGTGGAGGAAACAGCGTGTGGTGATGCAATCCTGCCTCTAACATTACCCACGAAGGTAGGATATCTGAAGGTGGGAGGAAATTCGGAAGCTGATGACCACAAGCTAACTGCCTGGGACTGACAAGACGAATACCAGAAAGGGGCGTGCTACCTGCTTACATTAAATGGAATGTGACCTACATGGGAGAAAATCTGGGGCAGAAAATGTGAGGAAACAACCTATTGAGGAAAATGCAAGCTTGAAATGATGAAAAGCTTACAAGATTTCATGCTTGTGAACAGATACGTCTTCCTTGTCATACCCTGTCATATAAACACCACTAAGCATCATCAGAATGAATTCAATCTGGAAGAGGGCCTGAATTTCCAGTTGATAAACAATATGCCAAAAAATAATAAAGGAAATCAAAGAAATGGGAAACAGGAAAATTTATGGGGAAGTGGAAATAAGAAATTATATGACTCATGTTCTGTCTACAAGTTCAACTCTTTATATCTCTAGTATTGTTTGTATTTCAGAATAAAAATGACTTCTTGGTTCATTTAAGGAACAATATATAACAGAAGAAAAAAATAGCAAATATGAGTAAACTTTTGCAACTTTGAAAAATTTTTCTTGTATGGATCTAGCAAGTCAGTACTAGTATGAGAATAAAGATTTAAATTGCAGAACATCTGTGAAAGCATATTATGTAGATACAATGTTGTTTCAAAGTAACACATTGACAAACTTTTTATAAGAACTTAAATTTCAGAACTTGTATTTCAAATCTACGATCTCCATGTATGTGATTCTTAGAAAACTGCAATTTCAAGTAAAATACCACTTACCAGGTAAAATATTTAAATAGTTCCTGTCAGAATTTTTAGCCTTATCGTCACTTCCTCCATTTCGGTTTCCAGAATCTATTCATAAGATAATGCAACATGAAAGAACATACAACATATGAGAACACATTACTTCTAGTACTCCCCAATCAATCACAATAACAGCAAAAATGTTCTAAGGATAGCTAGTTGCCAGGCATTCTGACATACGTTTTACATGCACAGTCTCATTTAATTCTTACAAAACCCCTAAAACCACAGCCTTACAAGGTAGGTACTATTACTGTCTTCATTGTATATGTGAAGGAACAGAGGCTTACATAAGTTAAGTAACTTAGCCAAAGATTCACAGTTAAGTGGTAGAACCAGGTCTTGAACTCATATACCCAGAGTCCAAATCCTATGGTCTTAACCACATTATACTTGCCAGGGCACTAAATTTTTCATCGGGAGGTTCAGGGCACTAAATTAACTACACATAAAACAACTTCGTTAAATAGTTGTAGTGTGGCCATCTTTATTTTTAGATTCTGAGTCACTGTTGTTGATATAACTTGTCCAGGACTCCAAGCAAATGGCGAGTAGTACCAGGAATCACTTGATATATAGCCCATTCTGCAATCTGGGGTTACTTCTTATCCACACCATATACAATGTATTTCAAACAGATATGTGAGACTTTGTTTCAAATGGAACATTTTTTAAAATATAATTTATTGTCAAATTGGCTAACACACAGTGTGTAAAGTGTGCTCTTGGTTTTTGGGGTAGATTCCCGTGGTTTATCGCTTACATACGACACCTAGTGCTCATCCCAACAAGTGCCCTCCTCAATGCCCAAATGGAAGATTGTTTATTAGGTATTCAATAGTTAATCTTTTTTTCTAGAAGGCATGATATTATTTAGAAGGATAAATATTGGTAAAATAAGACATTGCAATTGACCGTACATTATTATACTTGGACACACATTATTTTATACACGTACATCTATTTTTAACAGATTTCTTATAAAATTCAGGGCACCTGGGTGGCTCAGTCAGTTAGGCGTCTGACTTTGGCCCAGGTCATGATCTAGCAGTCTGTGAGTTCGAGCCTAGCCTCAGGCTCTGTGCTGACAGCTCAGAGTCTGGAGCCTGCTTCCGATTCTGTGTCTCCATCTCTCTCTGCCCCTCTCCCTCTCACACTCGCGCTGTCTCTCAAAAATAAATAAACATTAAAAAAAATTTTTTTAAAGATTCAGATGTATCTTCTACCAAAACTTGAAAATGCAGAATCAATATTAGCATTCAAAGCAGCTATCTTTAAGAAGGTATCTGTGTATTTCAATTAAATACAAAACTATTTTGGAAAGGCTGTCAGCATCAGAAAATCACTTGAAAACAGAACTTCAAAAGGGTAACTGAAAATATCAAGGGGAATTATGCTTTCAAAAGTGTTCTGAATGAAAGTAACTTCATATAATCAGTAATGAATAATTGGCCCAGAAAACAAATGATAAAAAAGGACTCTAATAATTTTGTTCACATGGGGTATGAACAGACAGAATTCCTACTAAGTGAATAAGAGAGAACAGTTCATAGTCTATTCCCCCTCCATGTTTTCACTAACACCTTGCAATACTAAGAAAATGACTTTTTCACTTAAAAAAATGTACATAAAATGTGCACAGAAAACTAAATTGCTTTTGGCTTGTTATAATGGACTGCAGAAACACAAAGATTCTAATATAATGAACACAGTAAAAACAAGTGATGGAGTGCCTTAGAATAAACAAGTACTTGAGTATCGGGATGTAAATGGGTAGAACAAATATGTGGGCATGCACAGAAAAGGAAAAGATGGAGAAAGCATTTTCACAGAACTCTTCTATGACAACATGTGGGTTCCTTTAAGAAAGTTGTGTTTTATAAACCTACTTGTTTCACTGACTCACTTAAACCACAAAATAGTTGCTTGAACAAGAGCAAAATAATACCATGATTTACACACAGTGCCTTAACCGTATGTGGTTTGAAAACTTCCTGTCATTTGCTACACACTTTGTATCTCTCATAAATATACTTAGAATCCTCCTCCTTCTCCCACACCTGTCATGATCTCAATCTTCATGCTTTTAGTCACTACTAAGAATAATATTAAAATGTTTCTGATCACATCACTGCTAGTTTGAATGAGATAGAGGAAGAAGATGGTAGAAGAATAAGAGGACATACTGGAACTTTCTGAAAGGTCCTTTGTTAGGATACATTTCTGTATGATTTCCTGACACGTGTCATATGTAACACACAGTGCCACAGCAAAGCTACAGTTATCTGGAGTGGGAATATAAGCTGGTGGCACTGTTATGGAGGGCAACTGCGAACACTATCAATATTATTATAAATGCATGTCTCCTTTAACACAGTAATTTCTCTTAGAAGTCTATTCCTAGAGATAGGTTCACACATGCGTGGCACTATATGTGTAACATGATTCATGCATTATTTGTTATAATAGAAAAAATGTTGGGATGGATTAAGTGTCATTACAGAACTGATTAATAACTGGATACCTTGCAATGGACTACTACACAGCAGAAGGTATAAGGATGCTCTTTATGCACTGATACAACATGATGGCCAAGATAAATATTCAGTAAAAAAAGTCAAGTGTGGAAAAGTGTGCAGAGAAGGATGCCACTTGTGTAAAAGGGAAAATTAAATAAATACACACACACATGCACTGATGTGTACATAAACATATGTCTGGAGGATACTGGGCAGCACTGGCTGTCTCTGGGGTGGGAAATGAGTGCCTGGTGGACAATTATGAAGACTTTCACTGTATGCTCTTTTATACAGTTTGAATTGGGAATCTTGAGACTGTTTTACCTATTTAAGAAATGATTAAAAAATAAAACTTTTTTAAAAAAAGGTCTATTGAATAAATACGGAAACTATAGTGAATGCTTACCAAGGTTAAGTCTAGAAAGCTACATTCTAGCATCAGGAGAAAGTGAGAAATTCTACAATTAATACGGGAAGAGGAACAAAGACAGCAAGCAAAGATAAAATAGTATCTCTTTGCTCACTACAAAACACAAAACATAGGAACCAAAAGTACTATCAAATGGTTTCTTTTAAACACTGCAGTTGCAAAATAAACCAACAAAAAAGACATCCAAGTACATAAGCTGATTTAAAAGTTTGACCAGCCGTACTTTAAAAACCTGCCATATTTTGGGGCGCCTGGGTGGTTCAGTCGGTTGAGCGGCTGACTTCGGCTCAGGTCATGATCTCGTGGTCCGTGGGTTCGAGCCCCGTGTCAGGCTCTGTGCTGACAGCTCAGAGCCTGGAGCCTGTTTCGGATTCTGTGTCTCCCTCTCTCTGACCCTCCCCCGTTCATGCTCTGTCTCTCTCTGTCTCAAAAATAAATAAACGTTAAAAAAAAATTAAAAAAAAAAAAACCTGCCATATTTTATTTCCTGGGCAAGACATCAAGTTTTTATAAAAAAAAATAAATTAAAATGCTGACTATGCATTCCAGCCATATGAGAACGTGCATTGTTATTTCCAGCCTGTTACATAATATGAAATGTCTGAAAAATAAGAAAAATGGAGCTTACGTATATTTCTTATGAATATTACCCTTATATTTAGCTCTTAACTAAACGAACTTATGATGCCAATTTAACTTATAAAGAAACCACTTTTAAAACTTATATTTTTCAATTAAAAAAATAGAATTACTCTGTAATTTGAGTTAAAGATTTTTCTTTTACCTCTATCTTCCCTTAAGTCTACGAATAGAGATCTTACACAGAAAGATGTCGTGAATGTTTTCTATAGTTTTAAAAATAATTTCCCAAAGAGTTAGAAAGGATGTTTAAATTGTGGATAAATATGAAAAAAGCAGGACATAGTTCTGGACATAGTGATTTTTTTAAAGAACAATCAAAAACAATTCTTATAATTGACATCCTGCTACCTAGGAGGAATCAAGATGAAATGTATAAAAAGTGTGTATTTTGTGCTACTATTAATTCTATGACTTCAAAACATAGTAATTATGTCCATTTTAGAGATATAGAACTCAGACCAAAAGATCACTGGGGCCTCTCTGTGGCTCAGTCGGTTAAGATCCGACTTCAGCTCAGGTCATGATTTCAGGTTCGTGAGTTTGAGCCCTGCATTAGGCTCCCTGCCGTTAGCACAGAGCCTTCTTGGCTTTCCCTTCTCTCTCTGCCCCTTCTCTGCCCCTGTGTGCTCTCTCTCTGTCTCAAAAAATAATCTTAAGAAAAAAAAATCATCAACTTTACACTGAGTGCCTACCTCAAGTATAATTATAGAATTTAAATTTAAAAAGTTTTTGCTAAGGCTATTAAACAAAATCATGCAAAAAAGAAAATTTAGAACAGAATTCAACCTTCTAAAGATCCTGAGTTTTTTCCTTAATTTCTTTCCTCCACTTTTCCACCAACACAACTTTCTATTTTAATAACGGTCCATATGCTATTAGAGTGCTTAGGGACAAAATACACTGAAAGTGAAACTTTGAAAAGTTTGAGTTTTACTGACCATGTGATTCTTTCAACTTACTCCTTCGTTGGGTTCTAGCATAAAGTACCACCTGCTGGACAACTTCCAGTTGCTCTTCGATCCGGGGAAAATGGAAGTCAGTACATTCTTGGCAAACTGTGGCAAAATCTAAGGGACCCAAAACATTTACAAACTTTTAAAGGTGGGCTATCAAATATTTAGTATTTACTTAAGGATAATGAGAGCTAGCAGAAATAAAATACAAAATTCACAAGAATGATTTCTTATACTTTTCCTTTTAATAATTATGTCTTAAGTTAGGGTATATCAATTTTGTTTGAATCAGAAACTTAATCTATCACTCAAAAGAGTAAATAATTAATAAACACGGAAATTTTTATATAATTCCAAACCTGCTTTAAGTAATAGATACTTTAATCATAATCAAGTCCCAGAAAGTGTTAAAAAATACAAGAAAGTTCTCATATTTATGGTGGGAAATAAACTCTATTCAAGCTTCTTTAAAAAGTTACACAATTCAATATACTTTATATATTTAAAATTTTTAAAAAAATCATAAAAAGTGAGATTTACAGAGGGAACATAGATTATTACCTAGCACATTTAAGAAATAGGCTATCTAAAAAAAACAAGGAAGAAAGGACAAAAGGATGAGCTAAAATTCACTGAGCCAGGATCTGCTTCTGAACTGAATACATTTACATCTTGATTATTCTTTTTGTTATGCCTTGAAGCAAGAATCCTATAAGAGCATTACTTATGAGATAACACAATTTTAAGAAACAGTAAATATCCTGAAGCACTTTACCCATGCTGAAGTATGACAGAAATCTAAAATAGCCAAGGCTGGGGATGTGTGTTGCTTGGCTACCAGAATACTAGGGTTAACTAAAATTTTTGTTTTTCTATAATCCCTTTCTTTGTAAGAATGGTATTCAAAGGAGAAATTTAACGAAATAAATATGTAATGTTAACTTACCTCTTTTAATACCACTATATGAATTGATTCGATTGTCTACAAGTAAAACCAGGCCACAGAGAGAGGTGGAATAAAGTGACAGTGCAGTCTGGAGTCGATGGAGTTTCACGCCACTTCGGTGATTTCTTTTGTGCTTACAGAAGTCCAGCATATCTGCTCTCAGCAATCTCAAATTATGCATGGTCTTCAACTGGGCTCCTAGGGGGTGGGCAACAGTCCCAGAAAGAAACTTAGACAGCTGCAAAAATCGAGTATAACAGGATGTAAATCTCTATGGCAGGAATTCAGATAAATCTGTGCTACAAATAATTAGAAATAGGTTTTGCAATTTCCCAACCTAATAACTACTCAGATTTCACCTTTATTTTTTTAATTATTTTTTTCAAGTTTATTTATTTATTTCAGGCAGGGAGGAGGAGTAGAGAGGAAGAGAGAGGAGAGAGGAGAGAGGGAGAGAGAGTCTAAGCAGGCTCTGTGCTGTCAGTGTGGAGCCTGACACGGAGCTCGATCTCACGAAGTGTGAGATTGTGACCTGAACCAAAATCAAGAGTCAGACACTTAACTGACTGAGCCACTCAGGCACCTCTCAGATTTCACTTTTCTATTTGTAAAAGATAATATATTAGCGAATACAGAAAGCATACAGCCAACAAACTTCAGGAGCAGGACATTGTTCGTAATTAAAAATAACATGGGTACAGTCTACTCATATGCTGGGGATTTTTCTCTTACAACATAAAAAAAAGCTTCAGAAGTTACAATAAATTACGCCTACAAAAAAATGAGTCCACTTACCTAAGTGAATGGTAAAACTTTCTTCCAACTTTCTCTGCTCCTCATAAATCCTTCCATTTGCTTCTACGGATTCTCTGAACTGACTCGGTTGAACTTTAATTTCCTCACTGCAATTAATAAAATTATTCGTATGCTTTTTTCGTCTCTTTGTCAAGAACTTTTCTTGAAGGAAAGAAAGCTTTATAATGAAATGAGGCAAAGTGAAGTCTGTAAGTACCACTTAACTATTCCTAAACTTATCCTTAATCTATGGTAACAAGTAAGAATCATATACACCAATAGGTTTTAAAATTCCTACTTGTTCTTTCATTTCCTCACAGCAAGTAATGCATATTATTCTTTCCAGTCATTGCAATATCAGCTCATATATTACCATTTAGTATTTCTTAGTGGTCTAAGAAAATGATTAAATGAAGTGATTAACTTACTACTTTAAAATGGCATAATGAAAAAATATATAATATATCCTGTATCAGGGTTGGCTCTAAGCAAAACTAAAAAAGGTGACGTGATAGAAATAAAAATTGAAAATTAAAAAGTCAAATAAAAGGAATAATAAAAAAATAGAAAGATCATTTTGATGTATTCATATCCTCTATTTTTTTAAAACCATTTCCTGCTTTTTTTCCGTCAACAGCCTCCTCCCATTGAAAGACTTCTCTCTTTGCTCTACTCCATTCTTGTGTTTGCTGAAAAGGTTTCCATGGAGGCATTCAACAACTGTACAATTATAAATTCAAATTTCATGGTATGTGGAAGATGATATAAGTCTATAATAGTCATTCTGGACTACATTTTTGGGGTTGTTCCAAACAGTCTCTTAGTCTCACTGATTGACTTCATTAGTATATATGGCAAATTTAAACCTAAAAAATTGATATTAACAAAACATCCTCACTTTAGGATGTGAAAAGCCACAAGAGACTGTTGCTCCCACTCTAACAACAAGAAAAAGCCAGATAATCTATAAAATCATAACTTTCCTGAAATTTGAGGTAACGAGGCAACCAATCAATTCTAAAGTGCAACACACCCCTCAAGGACAGACAGGAGACACAGTTTTCATCTTTGGCAGAGCTTGGTGGAAATGAGTTGCTGCAATGTAAGGAGATAGGAAGAAATGGCTAAAAGTTTAACAATCCTTAAAGGACAAGTGTGTGTTAGCATGTAAATTTAGAATAGCTATGAGCCTCAGGCACAAGGGAAATTTGCAAGTACTTACAAAATCTCTTTCATCAGCCTCCACCAGGTGTTTCCAAGAAAACACCGGAGGCTGTGCAGGAGACAAGAGAGCCTCCTTTGTGGCACAGGTAGAAATGCTAAGAATGCCCCAAACCCAAGCCCTAGATATATATGGCCTGCACACAACTGAAGCTGGACAAAGACAACGGAGACCTATTTCCCACCCCCAATATGAGCCTAGCATCACATCACAAACAACCATGGTCTACTCCTGAGGGGTAGAGCAACAGCATAGAGACCTCATGCTTGGCACAGGACTGCAAACACTGAAAGCTGAGGATGGAGCAGAATGACAGGGAAAAACCCTCTAGAACCCAAAGCCCCACTCTAAATACAAAGTGGCAGCAGCTTACTATGGTAGAAAATGCAGCCTGTGGTATCATTGAAGGAAAAAACCAAACTCTGCTCAACTGCTGACTAGGTTGGCATGACATTCACAATAATGGCCTGTTCGTTTCTGGACATAAATATTATCTACCTTAGTCTCTTCTTTACAAACACACACAATGCCCAGCATTTATCTTTTTAAAAAGAGAGAGAGACACAAAAAAAGCAAGCAAAAGAAACAAATAACCCACTGTCAAGAGATAAAGCAATCAACAAACACAGACTGAGAGATGACCCTGGTACTGGGCCTAAAGGAAAAAGACTTTCAGGGCACCTGGGCTCAGCTGGGTAAGCATCCTATTCTTGATTTTGGCTCAGGTCATGATCTCATGGTTTGTGAGATAAGCCCTGCACTGGACTCTGCACTGACAGCACGGAGGCTGCTTGGGACTCCTCTCTCTCTCTCTCTCTCTCTCTCTCTCTCTCTGCCCCTCCCCTGTGCTTGCTCATGTGTTCCTTGTCTCTCTCTCAAAATAAATTAATTTAAAAAAAAGACTTTCACATAACAATGACCAATATGAAAGATCTACTGGAAAACAACACACAGGATGCACAAAGAATTTCAGCAAAGAGAGAAAAGAAATGAAAAGTGCTAGAAATAAAAACATGATACAGATTGATGATCACAGATACCAATTCCTTTGACAGGCTCATAGGCAGACCACCAACTTATTTTATGCTGTCATTACCCAGATGCCAAAACCAAATGAATATATTATAACAAAACTATACACATATATATACACATATACATATACTTATTCATTATCTTATAGTAGACATATTCACTTATATTTTCATATATAATGTGTATGAAATAATACATTATGACTCATACATATACATTATAACTATAAAATTTCTAGAATACAACTGAGCAATAAAAAGAAAACTACTCACAAATGAAGCAACATGCATAAGTCACAAATGCATTGTAAGTAAAAGAAGCAAGACACCAAACTGCTACATAACAGTTTGATTTTATTGATAAGACATTCTGAAAAGAATAAAAACTGCAGGGACAGAAATCAGAGCAGGTTGACAGGAGAAGGGAAAGAGAAAGGAATGGGTTATAAAAGTATACAAGTGAAATGCTGTATCTTGGTTGCGGTGATGATTTCATGACCAGTTAAGTTTGTCAAAACTCATCAAAATGTAAACTTAAAAGACGTAAATTTTAATTTATATAATTTACCCTTCAACAGACTTTTTTTTTAAAGAGAGAGAGAGAAAGTGTGAGCAGGGGAGGGGCAGAGAGAGAGAGGGAGAGAGAATCTCAAGCAGGCTCCATGCCCAGTGTGGAGCCCAATGAGGGGCTTGATCTCACAACTGTGAGATCATGACCTAAGCCTAAATCAAGAGTCAGATGCTTAACTGACTGAGGCACCCCAAGAGAAATAACTTATTTATTTATTTATTTATTTATTTATTTATTTTTTAATGTTTATTTATTTTTTTTGAGACAGAGAGAGACAGAGCATGAACGGGGGAGGGTCAGAGAGAGGGAGACAGAATCCAAAACAGGCTCCAGGCTCCGAGCTGTCAGCACAGAGCCCAACGTGGGGCTTGAACCCATGGACCGCGAGATCATGACCTGAGCTGAAGTAGGCTGCTTAACCGACTGAGCCACCCAGGCACCCCGAGAAATAGCTTTTTTAAAAACACAAAAATAATGACTAAAAAAGATACCACTTTAATCAATTTCTTGTAGGAAATCTATAGGGAATTGTGTTGAAAACAGGTTTCTGCTGCCCAAGGAAACCCCTACTGGAAAGAAAAGCAAACTAACAAAGTCACATTAAAAACATTTTTCCTAGGAATATTTAGTTTTTAAAAGCAGCACCAGCTAGAAGCCAACAGGTACACAATGGAACTGATTCTATAGATTGAACTTCTGAAACTATAGTAGCAAAATGAGAGATAATGTTTATAATAAGGGGCTTTCTCAGCTTCCTGAAATCAGTGACTCTCCACTTTTCTGACCACAACATACAGTATATACTTTACATTTTGGCTTAATACACACATTTATTTATAGGAAGCTTCATGTATGATGTGCTCTCATATTTTCCACCTATTCTACTCTACTCTCTTCCATTCCAATTCATTCCATTCCATTTTATTGTTATTTTTAAAAGTCTGAGTGGAAAGTAAAGAATCTAGAATGATCCTAACAGATTGAAACCAACAGTTTGAGAAACACCATTTACATTACGGTAAACAGATGTTCCCAACCCATCTTTCCACCCACCCCTCCCTTTGTATTGTGTTAATATTTTTATTTGAAATGAGGACTATAGTCAAATATGTAAAATATGTTAGTGCCAAGGATGCTATCCCATTTCTAATCATAAAAATTGTTTAAGGATTTCTAAGGTGTTGTCTTGGGGAAAATAAGGCAAATGAAATATTATGTATATGGATAAAAGGTGATACAGGTATCAGGTTAAGAGTTTAATGACAATCCATCCACCTGCCTATTTGTCCACCCATCCCATCAATATGTATTGAGTATGTTTTATGTGCCAGTGTTAAGAGCTAGACACTTGGCAACGATCAGGGTATACAACAATAGAAAAAACAAACATGGCTTTTGTCTTCAAAGCGAGAATAGTAGGGGAGACTGACATTATACAAATAAAATGCTATTTCTAACTGTTTATACCAAATAACAGGCAAAAGCTGAGAATAAGATTATTATACTGTACTAAGTACATTTCCAGTTGAATATACTTTAAGATTGGAAAGAAAGAAATTCTCAAACACACAAGTACACAGCCAGGAAATAACACAGGTACTGTCAAAGCTCTAGGGCAATATATGAAATACATCAGGTACTGTACAACTTACAAATTGTAGACAAATTGTAGACAAATAGACTATTTTTGTACCTGGTACATGCTTATATTACTGCATGTATCATTCTATACAGTACTGTTTTATTTATAGGTCAGTCTCTCTAGAATATAAGCTCCACATGGGTAGGCATCTTCTTTGTTTTTCTGCTTAGAGAGTGCTTGGCATTTAAGATGCATTCAATCAATGCATATTGCACTGAACAGAAACCAATTTAAAAAAACAAGAGATACACAGTGCCTGGGTGGCTCAGTTAGTTAAGCATCTGACTCCTGATTCTGACTCAGGTCATGATCTCTGAGCTGACGGTGTAGAGCCTGCTTGGGATACTCTTTCTCTCCCTCTCTCTCTCTGTCCCTCCCCCACTCACATGTGCATGCATGTGCATGCTCTCACTCTCAATATAAATAAAAACCCCAAGAGGTAGTAGTTGGGGTATTTAGATATACACACCTAAGAGATTTATAGCTAAATTTTAGGGGGGGTAGGAATCACTATTTTAGGCCAACCAATTAACCCCCCTCCCTAAATAATCCACATAAATCCAAATTACACCAAAGGTGTTAGAAGCATAAAATTATCTTGAACTGTCATTGCTAACTTAAAAATATCTACAACTGAAGGGGGACCTGGGTGGTTAGGTCGGTTATACATCTGACTTTGGCTCAGGTAATGATCTCACAGTTCATGGGTTTGAGCCCCAAGTTGGGCTCTGTGCTGACAGCTCAGAGCCTGGAGACTGCTTCAGATTCTGTGTATCCCTCTCTCTCTGCCCCTCCCCCACTCATGCTCTTTCTCTCTCTCAAAAATAATAAACAGTAAAAAAAATTTTTAAATATCTACAACTAAAAATGTTCAATTTTACAACAAATACAAACTCATACCCACAACGAACTTTCATCTAATAAGAACCATACATGATTAATACCTGAGGGAGCTGTTGTTGGGGTTTTTTAGGTCTTGATGAAGTTTTATCACCCATTCCTGATATTCTTGTTTTTGGATGGCAGTTGATTGTTTTAATTCATTTGACCATTTATTTTCTAAGTCCTAAAAAGAGAGAGTACACCAAGTGGTTAATTTTTTTACAAAAATAAATAAGCAAAAGAAAATGCAATTGTGTATCTAAAAGTCATTCTACTTCACTTACTTGCTGGGATTCAAAATGCTGAGCAGCCAGTGAATTTACATCTTGATCTGTCAGTGATTTCCCCAATTCCTGCATCACTTTTTCCATTTCAATACCTTGTCTAAAACATAAATAAGAAGATAAAATATGGTCATAAAATCTTTAAGGTATATGGCCACTCCAGAATCACTGAACAATCTCTATAAAGCAAAAATAAAATTTTTATTTTGGGGCGCCTAGGTGGCTCAGTCAGTTAAGCGTCTGATTTCTGCTCACGTCATGATCTCGCAGTTTGTGAGTTCGAGCCCGCCTCAGGCTCTGTGCTGACAGCTAGGAGCCTGGAGCCTGCTTCAGATTCTGTCTCCCTCTATATCTGTCCCTCCCTGACTCTTTCTCACGCGCACTCTTTCTCCCTCTCAAAAATAAATACACATTAAATTTTTTTTAAATAATAAAAAAAAAAGAAAAGAAGAAATTTATTTTAAAGGAGTATGTCCAGGAATGGCAACTATAATACCAGGAAAGCACTTTGAAGCCTTGGAAATGCAGATGTGGAAATAATGATAATGTCATATAATACCAACGTCATTTGTACAGCTAAATTTTAATCTAAATTTAACCCATAAGTGAATGTGGTCAAAATCTAGGTAATCTTTCAATTTCTATGGCTAATGTTTAAAGTCAAGACTCCTTTCCATTTGCAGATTTCCTCAAAGATGATACTCTGCAACTCCAGCTTTAACATATTTTCTACTTCTATTTACATGAGTTAAAGTGACTTCAAGGTTTGGAAGTCAGCTTATATAGTATTGCCCAAAGCTACCAATTAGGTTCTAAGAATAAAACCGGTATTAAGTCATAAAGCTCTCATTACAGAGGAATATAAGATACATTCTAAAGATACGTTTTAGTTATACCTTCTTCATTTATCTAAATAAACAATATGCATAAATTAAACATGGTTTTCCCACAGGAAAAACTAATCAATGGTGTTAGAAGTTCAGATAACTGAAGTTTCTTATGGGAGAGATGGGTTGTGACCAGCTGCGCCCGAGGGAGCCTTCTGCAGTGCTGGAAATATTCCATTTCTTGATCTGAGTGATGATTATATGGTGTGCGTACTTTAACTGTACACCTACAGTTTGTTGTCTTTTATGTGTGTATATTTTAATAAATAAGTTCGTTGAACATTTTCGAATCTAAAAATTATTTTCTAATACAATCATATTTTAAAAGTTTGCTCTAAAATATATTGCAAACACATGTGGAAAGAATAAAGATGTGAACCAAAAGGATTTTACTATCATTCTCATTAATTTAATTGCTCTTAAAAGAGAATTTATACTTACTTATAACAACTGATTAAGACACTTACATGTATATGGTAAATAAAACACATATATATTATACATTTATACATTTCTATATATACTTTCTAGTATTAAATATGCAATATCATTTAGTCTCCCCCTAATTCTAATGCAGGTGACCCCAGTAACTTTTTGTAACTACTGGGGGCCATGTGCTTGCAAGTAAGATTTTATTTAAAACATAAATAATTGCTAAACATTTATAAATATAAAGTTCGATATAAATAGATTAATATTAGGGGCGCCTGGGTGGCGCAGTCGGTTAAGCGTCCGACTTCAGCCAGGTCACGATCTCGCGGTCCGTGAGTTCGAGCCCCGCGTCGGGCTCTGGGCTGATGGCTCAGAGCCTGGAGCCTGTTTCCGATTCTGTGTCTCCCTCTCTCTCTGCCCCTCCCCCGTTCATGCTCTGTCTCTGTCTGTCCCAAAAATAAATAAACGTTGAAAAAAAAAATTAAAAAAAAAAAAAAAGATTAATATTTTACATTACACATGTTCCCTCTAGTGGATAAAAAGTATCATTGCCATTTTTAAGTTTTAGGGATTCAGTATCTTTAAATATCAATATATGAATATTTTTAAATATTTATATTTTATATCTGGTTTGCTAACAACAGCAAATTAACAGCGAGGAAAAAAAAGACTAATAAATAATTCAACAAATGAAATTTCATGAACATTTATTTCATTCTAAATGTGTCAGAAATGCAAGTAGCTAATGATACAGTTAATGATACAATATACATTTTCTATGATTAAGATAAAAGGAAATTTCATTATATTTCTAGCTATACCTAACTAGATATTGGCTTAGTATGTCAGGTGTGACAATTCTAACAATGTGAACATTATCTTGAAGACATTTAGAAATAAAGGATTATAACAGTCTTGATGCTGTGGTGAGAAACTGTCTTTTAAAGATGTAAAGTGGAATTAAAATGAAGACAGAAATAAGAAAATGTGTCACTTCTGCTCATGAATTGGGTAAGTGAATTGGGTGAACTTCCAGATACCAGTGAATTCCAACTTGCCTTAAGTTACACTGTTCACCTTTACACTATTTACCTACCTCAGGAGGAACACAGCTTGTTTTTCCTTTCCAGCTAACAGTTTGGATATGTGGAGAATAAATTGCAAAGCTGTTGTCAAAATAAATGTATTCCAATATTGTTTATGTTTAGAAAGAAAAAAAGAAAGCAAAACTCTATCAAGAAATTTGTCCAAAGGACATTTCAAAAAATAACATTAACCCAAACAAACTCCTACTAAAAAAACTATTACACAAAAGAAAAAAAAATGTATGAAGTATCAGTAAATGCAGATAATTAGTAAGTTAATTCAGCTTCCCAAAAGGTGAAGAATCATGTGGAATAGGAATCTTCTTCTGACTTAGAAAAAAAAAAAAAGACGGAATGCTGGTGGCCAGATATGGGATTTTCTGTGAAGTGTAGTGAGCAGATAGCAAAGTCACAATTCAGAGTAGCTTACCACCTGAATGAAAGTCCTACTCATAGCTATTGATATGGACTATAGAATACATTGATACTGACTATAGCCAAGCTGGGATTTTTTTTAATATACCTAAATAGGAGAATGAGGATAGTCCCAGAAAACCTGAGAACCAAGAGCAGATTCAGAGTGAGCTGAAGGTTATATTATTTGAAGCCTTGGTAGGAAAAAAATCAAATAAATGAAGTTCAACAGAAAGTAATCAATTAGTATTAGGTAATTATACTTTCATATATTTATATAAATTGAATCTATTTCGTTAATTCTAAAAATATATTTACAGTTTTACTGGCTACATCATAAAAGACTGGGAAAAAAAAAACCCATCAAATTTTCATCTCCTTTGGGAGACAGCTTCAACTATCTACCTGATGGCAACTACCTATACTGCAGGTATCCTGTCTATAAAGGAATAAACTGCCTCAAAACAGCTAATTACATACAGAGTAACAAATGTCAAGACATCAAGTTCTTTTCGACAGGGACAGTTCTAATATTTTATTAGATAGGGGAAAAAAAAGGCTGAGTGGTGTAGAATTGTTACAAAAATGTACAAATCTATGCAATACAGTAAAAATGCTGATCTGGTACACAAAAGAGTATTTCTCAGGAAGAATTATTAAATTCAGTTGCTTATGATTTTTGTGTTTTACATATTCTTAACTATGACAATCATCAAAATAACAGTTTATTCTCATCTTGCTAGTCCCAACATTTTCTAATACAAAGCAAATGAGAGCCAGGAGCAAACCAGTATACGTTATTTTAAATTTACTACTTTGGGACAGATTATGAAATTAGTCACACAAAATACATGTGATTTGGTTCTAATACACTTTCACAATCAAGGAAATTTCACATCAGCAACACTGAAAAAATTATCTTAATGCCATGTATACCTAAAGTCTTAAGTATATATTTTAAGGTAATAAATTTTATTAGATTCTGCTAGATCAAAATGGATTATCTAGAAAAAGCATGTCTTGATTATTACATTTTATGAACTGCCAGGAAGTGATCTGGAAAGTCATGTTTTAAAATAAATAATGGTAGCAATTTTTTACTTACTTACTCTGAAGAAAAAAATGAAAGACAAAAAGACTGCTTGCATACTGCTTGCAATGAATTAAAATCTAATTAAAATTTCTTGGAATAAGACTAGTGTTATTTTTTACTTCATGTAAATAAACTTACAAAATGAACTGAGAGAGACCATGAACATAGTAATGGCAGGGTTTTAAAGAGGTTCTGAACAGGGAGAGAGCATTGTACAGTGGTTAAGAGCTTTGGAGTCAGACTCCCTAGTTTCAAATTCCAGCTTGTCCTTAGACAAATTACTTAACTTATTTAAGCCTCAGTTTCCTCATCTGTAAAAGGTGGTAATAATAGGATTCTGGTAAGAATTAAATGAGATAGGGCATCAGTTACTGACTGCATGTTTCTGTCCCCCAATTCATATGTTGAAATCCTAATCCCCAATGCGATATTTGGAGGTGGGGCCTTGGGAAGTACTTACGTTTAGATGAAGCCATGAGGTTGGAGCCTTCATGACAGAATTAGTGTCTAGAGCTCTCTCTCTAAAAGATATGCACCAGGAGGGCACACTGAGGAAAGGCCATGGCAGCACACATCAAGGCATGGTGTAGAAGCAGATGGGTCTGCCAGATACCAAATCTGCTGGCACCTTGATCTTGAACTACCTAGCCTCCAGAACTGGGAGAAATAAATCTCTCTTGTGTAAGCCACCCAGTCTATGGTATTTTGTTATAGCAGTCTGAACGGATTAAGACATCATCTAAAGCACTTTGCACTGTGCCTAGAATAAAGCCTTTGACAAGAGGTGCCTTCAACAAGATGTAAGCTATTCCTCTTACTAGAAATAATATATGAAGCTACCATAATTTATTCAGGTAGATCACTTGAGAAGTTTTATAAACCTATGAGGACTTCCTAGTTGAAATTACAGATTGAAACACACAAAAGACTAATTTCTAATATTAGAGAATTTTTTCTATTTTATTTTTCAATTTTACAATTGAATGAAAATTGTTCTGCAGCCATCATACCTGACAATGTAACATTTAATTATGATAACGCAAGAAATCTGAAATACCTCTCTCGTAACTTTTTCAGCTCCACGTCTCTTTCACCAATCAGTTCTGAGATACTAACAAAGTAATTATGTTCCAAATTTAGAAGAGTTTCAGAGGCCGGAGAATGGATTAGGTCATGGTATACATCTGCAAAATCTTCATCCCAGCTGGGCTCTTCAGGCCTCGCATGCTCTAATGTGGTCTACAAGATGATACACAGACATTTATGATACGGTAAATCATACGCACATAAATCATGATACAGTATTTTTATTTAATACACTCTAGGTACATATAATATGATTCCATTTTTGTACATCAGACAAGGAGAGAAAGACCTATTTATGTATGTGCATATATGGGTTATATAGGATTATTTTAGTATACAAAAAATATGGGAAGATACAAACTAAGTTGTAATAGCAGTTACCTGGAGGCAGGGATGAGGAGGGGGTGCTAACATGAAGGAAGGGATAGGAGGTACCCACGATGGAAAAAAAACTAAGGATGCTATGATCTCATTTCTGTAAAACCACACACACACACACACACACGAAGGGATGATGAGCAAAACGCTAATGGTGGCAATTTCGCAAGAGTGGCATTTCCGATAATCTTTACTTATATTATAATGTATTATTATAATCAGAAAAAACTACTCATTATAAATAATACATTGCTAAAAAAGGATATACATTTGGAAAATGAGGTTATGTATGTAGTTACCTATTTAGTGATGCAATGACTCTGAAAACCCAATTCATGCATAGGATTTTATATCAAGATAAACATGTGATTTCCTTATTTTGACCTTTTCTAGTATTTTAGTATTCTTCTTAAAATGTAAGCATGCTCAAGGGCCCCTAGGTGGCTCAGTTGGTTGTGTGTCCGACTTCAGCTCAGGTCATGATCTCACGGTTTGTGAGTTCAAGCCCCGCATCGGGCTCTGTGCTGACAGCTCAGAGCCTGGAGTCTGCTTCAGATTCTGTGTCCCCCCCCTGCCTCTGCCCCTCCTCCACTTGAGCTCTGTCTCTCAAAAATAAATAAATGTTAAAAAAAAAAAAAACTTAAAAAAATGTAAGCATGCTTTTAAGATTAGGAAAACAGCAATCAAAATGATAAGGGACCAAGTAAACACTGATAAACAAGAAAAACAGAAACAAGGAGAGGCAAAATGGGGATACCCTCAGCACATGCACAGATACATCCAGGGAAGTATACACACAAATCCAGGGAGGTACAGATGCCTGTCCCAGGGACCTGTGGATATGTCAACACATCAGACAGATACAGCGCTTTATAGGTGAGAAAACTAGCTGATCAGTCCCTTGTCAAAGATCATACAATTTAATGGCAAAGGTGGAAATAACACAAAGAATTCAATATTTTTTCCTTTATTGATCTTTGTAGACAGACATCTGTGAAAAAAGAACAATCTGAATTCTTCCCTTTTCTTACCAATATTAAAAACTAATCAATGACATAACTCCAAGTAATAAATTACCTAAAATAAAACAAATGGACAAATCTCAGAGACAGGTATCTTGAATCCAGTCAATCAATACGTAAAGTTTTCCCCCTTGTTTTCTTTCACCTATATTCCAATCAATTGCCAGATCACGAGGGAAGAATTTAAGGTGACTAAAACATGGATTTCATCTGTTCTAATGACTCTGAAAACTTGAAAGCACATTCTGATAACTGCTGTAGGAATTATAACCAGCCCACATGACTTAAGCTCCATTCAAAATTCACTTCAAGTTCAGGCTAAAATTTTGTAGAAAGGAGCTAGTGAGAGATCGTAGGGATCTGTTTGCCCATACATAATACCGGACATCCAGTCACCCCACTAACCAGATTGGTTACTACAATAACTGGCAACATCAATTTAAAAATCGGCCTAGAGCAAGCCTTATGAATAGGCAGAAACTACCTACATGAGAAACACTAAACAGAGTTTTCCCTTAACCTAACTCATACCACTCCCTCAGGAGAGACCATACTAGAAAGGGAACTGTGACAGGTGAAGGGAATGGGGCACTGAGGAAAGGCCTACAGAGAGAAAACTAATGTCCCGGCCATTATTTTTCCACTTCCACCTTCCCACATAAAACTTTGGTGCTGAGTTCACAGACTTCCTCTCATTTCCACCTCCTGTCATCAACCTGAGTCACTTGGATGTCCATGTGGATAACCCAACCCGATGCCCTGCCTTCTTACTTCCCCGAATCCTTGTCTTTACTCAGTCCTCCGCCATTGTCTAACCACTGTCTTGCCAAAATCCTCAACTACCTTGACTCATGTTCCTTCTCTTGCCCACCTAACAAAACTCTAATCTTATTCCTTTTCTTTATGCCTGCAGTTGGGCTATAGAATGCTGCAGCAGGAAAACTACAAAACTGTAAAGTTTATGGTGGCAGACTGGTGTCAGTCTAATCTTTCCCTTCAATGATGCAATGCTATCTTTCTCTGGTCAGTTCTCTCCTCAAACATCCAACTATGTTATCAGTTCCCAACCTCATCTACAAGTGGTCTGTCCTTATTATTTCCCAGATAAACCAGAAGCAGTTAGAAGAGAATGTCCTCAACTTCCTGCTACCAAAGTAGTACAATTTTCAGAATCTATGTCCACCCTTTCCTTCCTCCTTTCTGCCATAACAGAAGGGTCCCTCTTCCCAGTTAAGATTAACTCTCTACTTGAGTTCTGAATTCTGTACCTTCTAGACTTCCTCTCTGCCACTGTAAATAAATCTTGGACCCTGTGCTCTCATTTTGCAAATGCCTTGTCTCTCTTCTCCATGCAAACAAGCTTCTTGAGTTATCTATTTCCACTCAATCTATTTCCACACTTCCACACATTCTTAAAGTCATTGAAATCTAGTTTTGGCCCCCACCAATCCATTGAAACTGATCTTGCCACAGATAAGATTACCTGATAAACCCAATGGATATTTTTGAGTCTTTTTCTTACTACATTTTCTTGGCAGAATCTGACACTACTGACCATTCCCTCCTTCTTGGCACCTCTCTTTTCTCAACTTTCATGAAACCATAATCTTCTGTCTTCCTTCCACTTCCTGGGCCAGTTCCTCTCTTTCCTTTGCAGGTTCTTCTTCTGCCGTTCATCCTCAAGTGTTAGTGTCTTCATTTACTTGTATATTCACCCATCTTTTTTTTTTTTTCTTCCATCCATCTACCCCATCTATCCAACCCATACCAAAGCCCTGTTCTTTTCAGAGACTGGGCTAGGTACCAGAGTTATAATAGAGAAAAAACTAAACATTTCCAAGTGGCTATCCATAAGTAAGAGATATAGATAAGTCAATAGATAATTATATACAGGGTTTCATCAGGATTCTGTGCAGGCATCTACTCTTCTCATTCTACACAGTCACCTTGAACAATTTCATTCCTTCTATGACTTCAAAATTCATCTATGTACAAGTGACTCCAAAACCTTTATCTCCAATCCAATAATCTTTCCTGAGTGCCAGGTGTAGATAGCTAAGTGCTTATGAGACATCTCCACATGGATGTCTTGTAAGCACTTCACATGTAATAGATATAAAACTGAAGCCATCACTTTTATGCCAAACCTTGCTTCTCAAGTGAAGGGAGCCACTCTTCTACTGTTCCTCCAGTTGTCCAAGCCAGAAATCTGGGCCAAGTGATCTTTTATCTTTCAAGTCTCAGCTTAAATGTTACCTCCTTAGAGAGGAGATCTCTAACCCCATACAAACAGGTCTTCCCATCCCACTTCTCCCCCTCCTCCTATGATGGTACCCTATTTATTTCCTTTATTACATGTTTATGATTATAATTTATATACTTGTTTATTAACTGTCTTCTTCACTACCATTAGTGAAGGTAACACGGACCAGATTTGTTCTTTTGATATATCTTCAATGCCTAGCACAGGATCCACAACAGTATTTGTTGAATAAACAAATGCATGAATGAAAAGTCATTTGTTATCTTCTCTTCAACTCCATTACTGCTATTCCAGACAAACCTTTCATCATTTCTTCCCTAAATAGTCTTCCAACTTATTCGAATTTTTCCCCTTTGCAGTATAAATTCTTTACACTAATGCACTGAACTGATGTTCCTGAAGTGCAAATATGATCATCTCACTCTGCTAAACTCTTTCAAAGCTGCTCATTACCTTTAGCATAAAGACAAAACTCAAGGAAGGGGACTGTCCTCTCCCAAGGCGCCCCTGAGATTGATACTGAGCCCTGGGGCTGGCTCCCTCCCCCACAGGCAGCAGCTCCAGTCTGGAGAAAGTCGAGCAACCCTGAAAACTCTGATATTCACTCCTAAGGCTATTTGCAAAGTAGACACTGGCTCTCTCTGTATTTTTTGTTCCCCAGTCTGTGGTCCAGGGAGGTTTTTCTCTTGTCCAAATACAATCCCACACTGCCACAGCCTCTTTCTCTTCCTTTTGTTTCTCTACCAAAGGGGTTCCCCCACTCCTCTGTGCCTACACCGCCTGTTTTATGTCTCCCAATTCACAAATACACACCTCTGTCCTGCCAGGTTGTCTCTTTCCACCTGTGGATATTTTTCTGTCACTCTATAGCCTGGATTCCTGGTATCCCAAGTGTTCTGACCTCAATACTGCTGTGTTTGAGTTGAGGGTTAAGGGACATTCCGACCCCTCTCTCTCCACCATCTTAACTCACACCCAAATTGGCAAAGAAGTCAAACTTCCAGTTTTCACAGGTGACATGATACTCTACATGGAAAACCCAAAAGACAACAAAAAACTGCTAGAACTGATACATGAATTCAGCAAAGTTACAGGATATAAAATTAATGTACAGAAATAAGTTGCATTTCTGTACACCAATAATGAAGCAACAGAAAGAGATATCAAGGAATTGAGCCCATTTACAATTGCACCAAGAACCATAAAATACCTAGGAATAAACCTAACCAATGAGGTAAAAGATATGTGTGCTGAAAACTAAAGGAAGCTTATGAAAGAAATTGAAAAAGACACAAAGAAATGTAAAAACATTCCATACTCATGGATTGGAAGAACAAATATTGTTAAAATATCAATACTACCAAAAGCAATATACACATGCAATGCAATCCCAATCAAAATAGCACCAGCATTCTTCACAGAGCTAGAACAAACAATCCCAAAATCTGTATGGAACCACAAAAGACCCCAAATAGCCAAAGCAATGTTGA